CACTCACAAATCAGGTCTTGACCAGATGGGTGCAAAAAGAAGCGGAAAAATTACTAACTCAACAAGCAGGACCAGTCGATACTTGTCCCCCACCAGGGTTATCTGACGAGTCGGACAAAGAAGAGGAGGAAACGACAGTTAGGAGGAGTAATAGGCAAACGAAGAACCAGGGGCCAAAGAGATATGGTAGCCCAGTATCCCATTCGGTCAACCTCATTAGTCGTGAGGACGACGTCACGGAGAAAAATTTGGCAGCACTAGAGGCCTACAGAACGAGATTAGCGAATTTAAATCTCAACAACAAAGAAACAACGCTGGAAAACAACACGTTCAACCTATTAGAGAGACACCTATTCAAACGGAAATTTGGGGCTACATCGTTGCACGAGTCTGGGTCGTGGAACGCTGCGAGAAACAAAGCGGAAGTAAAGAAAAATAACAAAGGAAACTGAGTCAAACACTATACAACTTAGTAAACTGAGAATCAAACTCGTATTTTGATTATAAAATTTTATAAGTTATTATATAAAATTTTGTTGTCCTCAGGGGGATGTGGTACTGTGTAGTACTGTTGCCATAGTAACCATGGAGAATAAGTGGTATTAATATTCTGTTATGTATTGTTATTATTATTCAAGGCCAGCCATGCAGGCCGAACGCAACAGTCATTTGGGCGGTTGCTATCTGAAGAGACATATGAAAAAATAAACATTATCTCTAACAAAAAACCAAGTTTCATGAAGAGTTAAATTACATTTTATTACTCTTCTGTTTTAATACTAACTAACACCCATAGCATAGGACTACCACAAACTGCTAGCTTGAAAGTTCAATGAATGAAACATAAGAATGAAAGAAAAGACGAAAGGCTCATGATTTTTGACCAGGCAGTCAAAAAGCAGATAAAAAATTTCGCTGTTTGTGTTCACGAAAATTAGAGAAAAAGCTTTTATACTTCATTAGATGCACTGGTTGACAGTTGCTAGTAACGCAGCACAAAAAAATCCGACCACTGACAATTTGGAATAAAAAACTTTTTGTTTAAATGTTACCTTTTATTGTTTTATCCTCAATTGATTGAGTTTCTCCAAAGAACCAAATATAAAACTTAACTTGAACTCCCAAAAAAAAGTAAGTGAAAAACTTGCAAGCTTAACTTAAATAGTATACACTCATTCACTTTTAGAAAAAAGGTACTTTATAAAACTATTCTTCTCTTTTGCGACATCCATTGTCGGTCAACCAACCAACCACAGAATTTTTCTTTTTCTAAACTGGGAATATTTGGCGCCTCTAGAGGGGTCAACAAAAAGTTTTTGGTCGACATATCTGAACCTAAAGTTCCTTCCCAATGGACAAGGGTCCCCAGCAACAGTGCAAAAATTAACAACGAAATAAGAGAACAACAATTTAAAAACGATTGTAAAAGCGTACGAGAGTGTTGTCATGTGGCTGGACCCACTTGACCATGAATGTGGAAGCCTCGGATCTGGCGGACAGAGAAGCCATTACGTGTTCGTAAGAGGTAGTCGTCTCGTCAAAGTCACTGTTCCCTCCCGTCGTCTTCAAACTAGTGAGTTAAGTATGTAGGCTTATCTCAGAGTAATTTCGGATAGGGTAGACCGTCTGCTCGTCACGCTATCTTATTTTCGGCCGGATAGATTCGTGCAACTTCTTAGTCTAATACCGATCCTAATCTTACTCTTATAGCTACTAGTCTCAGGGTGTTTAACTAGTCTCTGCTAGGCTCAATAGTTCTAGAGTATACTGGTATTATTGTGGCTGCTGAAGTACTCGGGAGAGGCAACTACTTTCTAAGTTAAATTCAAATCTCTCTGGTGCTGAAATTACAAGTAAGTGGGTTGTTAGTTAGATGGATTGTGATTGGTTAATATTAAATACTTTACAGTGGTAAGATATCTAAATTATAAATAATAAAACGTAGTTTAGATCAGGTTCCACCCATCCGGGGTTTACGGAGTTTTTGAGTTCTATCTCCTTTTTCTGCAATTGAAGGATGGATGATGAACCTTGGTATGTGGCGAACATCATTTTGTTTTTCTTGTTCCCTGGAGAAGAGAGGTCCAAGAGACTAGAACCGTCGACATGATTTCTCTTCAAGAGAAAAGTTCCAGAACGCTGGAATTAGGGATAGGAAGTTATCTTCTTGTCGTTTGTCAACGAATGTGATCCTTAATGAAATCGTTTAGATTTCAGAATCCAAAATGCTTTGCTATGTCAGTTTTGTTTGCATTTGTGGAGAGCTGCTTGTGATCAACCTCGTCTAGGAATGGCGTGAAACTCGTGTTTAGAAGGGATGCATTGTTACTCGGATCTGTACGTATACTTGAACATCGAGGTGTTCATTGGTCTGGTTCAATGAAGTCCTTTACTGCGAAGTCAAGTCGTACTCTAAATCCTTTGAGTCGTGATTGTGGGCGGCATGTCGGTTGTAGTTTATAGCCATTCTTTTTGTTCAAGCTGTGATGGGATCGTCTAGTCTTTGGATGTTCGTCCTTGTTGTCGTGTGTGATCTATATACTGCATATTATGATTTACGTTTTATAGATTTTAGTTAATTGTTTTTTAGTTATGATCTTGGTTATTTGTTTTTACAAAAGCGTTTTATTTTAGTTCAGTTATTTTGAAGAGTTACTCACCCTTGAGTACCTCTTATTAAAAATAGAAGTGTGGTCACAAAGCGTGGATGTAGCGCGGTGGGTTAGGCTGGCTATAGAGCATGCTCAGGACGTCCTCTCTGGTGGGTTAGGCCAGGAAAGGGAGTATGATTTCGTGCGGTTTCTTTGAGGGGTCCTGTTTTGTGTTAACATTATATGGTGGTTTTTTCTGGGTTTTCTTATGTTACTTATGATTGTGTCCTTTTTTTCAAAAATCGAATTGTTTTTGGTTTGGGTTTGTCTTTCGACTTTTTTGTGTTTTATTATTTCTTTCGTTGACTTTATAATAGTCTTCAACAGGATAAATTATCCAGTTTTAAGCTGGGTTAATCCGCTTCGGGTACCGTTGGTGTTCTTTTCTTACTCATGCTGTTATTTTATGAATTGTGGTGTTTAGTCATTTGAATTGGTTGGTTTAGTATAGTATATAACTCCATTCCAACCGGGTTAGAGAAAAGTTGGAAACTTTTTATCGTTAGCTAGAGTTGTTGTTATTGAAAGCTTGAAACAAAAAATCATTATTTTAAACAATTCTTCGTGGGCGATCTGTGCGAGTATGGATAGAATTCTTGTGCGAATGAATAAAAAGGTTAGTACTGCTTTCTCAATTTGTAATTTTACTGCTTGAATTTTCTAAGTTAAATTCAAATCTCTCTGGTGCTGAAATTACAAGTAAGTGGGTTGTTAGTTAGATGGATTGTGATTGGTTAATATTAAATACTTTACTGTGGTAAGATATCTAAATTATAAATAATAAAGCGTAGTTTAGATCAGGTTCCACCCATCCGGGTTTTACGGAGTTTTTGAGTTCTATCTCTTTTTTCTGCAATTGAAGGATGGATGATGAACCTTGGTATGTGGCGAACATCATTTTGTTTTTCTTGTTCCCTGGAGAAGAGAGGTCCAAGAGACTAGAACCGTCGACATGATTTCTCTTCAAGAGAAAAGTTCCAGAACGCTGGAATTAGGGATAGGAAGTTATCTTTTTGTGGTTTGTCAACAAATGTGATCCTTAATGAAATCGTTTAGATTTCAGAATCCAAAATGCTTTGCTATGTCAGTTTTGTTTGCATTTGTGGAGAGCTGCTTGTGATCAACTTCGTCTAGGAATGGCGTGAAACTCGTGTTTGGAAGGGATGCCTTGTTACTCGGATCTGTACGTATACTTGAACATCGAGGTGTTCATTGGTCTGACTCAATGAAGTCCTTTACTGCGAAGTCAAGTCGTACTCTAAATCCTTTGAGTCGTGATTGTGGGCGGCATGTCGGTTGTGGTTTATAGCCATTCTTTTTGTTCAAGCTGTGATGGGATCGTCTAGTCTTTGGATGTTCGTCCTTGTTGTCGTGTGTGATCTATATACTGCATATTATGATTTACGTTTTATAGATTTTAGCTAATTGTTTTTTTTAGTTATGATCTTGGTTATTTGTTTTCACAAAAGCGTTTTATTTTAGTTCAGTTATTTTGAAGAGTTACTCACCCGTGAGTACCTCTTATTAAAAATAGAAGTGTGGTCACAAAGCGTGGATGTAGCGCGGTGGGTTAGGCCGGCTATAGAGCATGCTCAGGACGTCCTCTCTGGTGGGTTAGGCCAGGAAAGGGAGTATGATTTCGTGCGGTTTCTTTGAGGGGTCCTGTTTTGTGTTAACATTATATGGTGGTTTTTTCTGGGTTTTCTTATGTTACTTATGATTGTGTCCTTTTTTCAAAAATCGAATTGTTTTTGGTTTGGGTTTGTCTTTCGACTTTTTTGTGTTTTATTATTTCTTTCGTTGACTTAATAATAGTCTTCAACAGGATAAATTATCCAGTTTTAAGCTGGGTTAATCCGGTTTGGGTACCGTTGGTGTTCTTTTCTTACTCATGCTGTTATTTTATGAATTGTCGTGTTTAGTCATTTGCATTGGTTAGTTTAGTATAGTGTATAACTCCATTCCAACCGGTTTAAAGAAAAGTTGGAAACTTGTTATCGTTAGTTAGAGTTGTTGTTATTGAAAGCTTGAAACAAAAAATCATTATTTTGAACAATTCTTCGTGGGCGATCTGTGCGAGTATGGATAGAATTCTTGTGCGAATGAATAAAAAGGTTAGTACTGCTTTCTCAATTTGTAATTTTACTGCTTGAATTTGAATTTTTACTACATTTTGGGGAAATTTGAAATTATAAATTTTCATTGTATGTAATTTTATTGCTGTTAGGGGGGTGATTTATAAATTAATTCACTACATTTAGTATAAACTTGACGACATTACTTAGTGCAAAAAGTTTTAGTATATCGAAATTGTTTTAGCAAATGAAATTTAAATGAATTGTAGTTTTAATTTAATAAGTTTATATTTTTGTTTGTCTTTTTTCGTTTTTGTAGATGATGGTGATGAGAAGACTAGAAAAAGAAATCTAACATTATAAAAATGGTTAGTAGATTTTGTATTTATTGGTGAAGGTAATTTAAGTATACTTACTTTAATCTTTGGGGAAAAAACCGTGTGGGAAGAGTTCTTGGATTAATTCAGATGATGTTAATAATTTAGCTAATATGCGGATGATGTTTTTAGTTTGTAGCAGTGGCCAAAGCAAATCAAGTGCTTTGATGATATTTAGTTCTTCGGTGCCTACTGCAAACTCATGAGGTGTTTGTTGTATTAGATTATAAATTTCAAGATTATATTTGGTGTTATGAATGATTTCTAGAATAGGAATTTCGATTGGTTGTAGGAATTCATGCGGGATGAGGAAGGGTCTGGATTCTTCGTCCTGGAAGGTCTTTGTGATGGGGCAAAATATATACATTTGGTGAACGGGATCGTAGTTACGGAGGATGCCGTGGAGGTTAGTATTTTTTATACAATAAGTGAAATTAAGAAAAAATGGTGATGTGTACTTTGAGTTAATGAATTGAAAACGATGGTGGGGTTGTCGTGAGGGTGTATGTAAGTCAAAGTGATTTTGTATAAAACGGTAGTATGTATAAGTGTGTGTCTGTTTGGTGCGTAACATAATATCGTGGGAGCAGTGCAAATCACGTTCCTGAGTTGTAAGGATGTGGAAGGTTAGTGTAAATAATTGAAATTTATCTTGAAAACTTTCGTGAGCTTGTGTGTCGATGAGGGCTTGAGAGAGTACGTGGTCGTTCTTTTTATCAAAAATGTTAAGTGTAAATAGATATGGTGTTTTGATGAAAAATTTTTCAGTTAGTTGCGGGTTAGCAAAACGGTTGTCGTCTAAAAATTGATCGTGGTTAGGGCGGATGATGTTATGATCATAATATTCCAGGGTTAAATCGTTAGCTCGGGGTGCGGTAAATGATTTGAGCAATTTTTTAAAACCAACGTATGTTAATTGTCGTGGTGTTAGGGCTGTTGTTAGTTTGTATAACATATTTTTGCATTTTTCGTTTTCGTGTAATGTGTTATAAAGTGGTAGAAAAAGAGGGTTAGTGTAGTGGTAGTATGATGTACAATGTAGTGTTGGCATTAAGACGTGCTCGTCTACAAAATTTCTAATATCATCGTATTTAAGGTGTATTGAGGAAAAATGGTAAACTGGTTTTAAGAAAAGCTTTGGTATTTCGATGTTGTGGGTGGTTAACATATTCTTTAGCTGTGCCAGGTTTAATTGTGAATGGATGATTTGGGAATTTGCGTTTAAATGTGCGGTAAGCTCGGTTAGTGTTAGTGGATGTTTCTGTGGATGTTGATGATTGAGCTAATGACGGAGTATAGTCCGATAGCGGTGTAGGTGTTGGTGGGCCAGATGATGTGGTTACGGTTCATAGATGATGGATGGTAAGGGTATGGGGGTGGACAATTTGTTGTTGAAGGGTAATATAATTATCTAATTCTGGGGAAATTTGTGGGATATCTGGGGAATTGTTGGTTGATCTGTCAGAAAAGGATGGAGTATAGGTTGGGGTGACTTGGGATGCATGAGAGGGAGTGGAAAGGGATGGTAGTGGTTGACTGGCATTGATAGGTTGAAAAGGGGGTTGTGAAAAATTGGAAGGGTTGGTTTGGGAATAGATGGAAGGAGAGGGTTCAGAGTTTGCAAATTCATCGGGGGTTTCGAGGTCTGAGTTATTAAATTGTGAAATAGTGTGAAAAACTGAAATGTCTGAGTTAGTGTCTGAACTCGTGCTAGATGGTATATTAATAATTGGGAAATCAGGTGGGGGAAAAACGAAAAGTGGGATAATTGGGATTGGGTTTTGGAGATTGGCTGGGTGGGAATTTGAGCGGTGGAAGGCTCCAATTTGTCGGCTCATCGTGGGCTAAAAAAGCGATTATGTTGAGATTGAAAAGTGGTAGTGTGGGGTTGTTCGATAATTTGTTCGTATGTATTATCATTTTGTGAATGATTTGTCGTTATATGCTGAATAGGGCTGTGTATTGAATTTGGTCGAAAATTTGGGTTATTTGTGATGGCTAAAGGTCGAGAATTTCTGGGAACTAAAGATAAGGGATGATTTTGTGTTAAGGCTGGGATTTTTGGTGCTGTAGGTGTTGTATCTACATTGTTGTGTTCTTCGTCGTATGTATTTGGTCTTGCGGCTAGTTTTATGTTATATTCTTTGATTTGTGCGTCTAAAAGTATTTTATTTATGGATGAGGAGAATATTCCAAAAAATCCTGCAAATAATATGCGTGCTACACTGGCTTGACGGTTGACTTGTGTGTGTATAGCGCATGTGCTGTAGATTCCTTTTAGTAGTGAGAAAAAAAATCCAATGAAATTAAACATAGCGTATAAAATAGTCAATCTTTCTAAGATGTAGTAGGGCCATCCTAGAAAAGCGAGTATCTCGTTTTTTAAGGTTAAAAAACTGAAAATATTTATGGGTGAAATATCTTGTGGTCTGTATTTTTCACCGTTTAAATATATATAATCTTTAATGTCTTTAAAATATCCGCTGTAGTCTTGTGTATAAATGTCTGCAAATCCTGCGGTTTCTGGACAACAATTTTGATCAATTGATTGTCGTTGTATATTATCCATTTGTGTGAGTAATTCTTGGAATTGTTGTGTTCTAATATGGTGCTGTATATCAGATTTAGAATAAATTCCAATTGATTGTCAGTCTATATTTGGGTTTCAAGCAATGGCTCTTATGCTTTCTGGTGAAAACTTTTTGAGTGATTGCATTAATGTGGGGTATGGTGTTAGTAGGTAGTATTTATCTTCGTCAGGGTTTAATTGTACGACAATGTGGCTATTTTCTGATCCACATGGTACTGCGGTGTCCCAAAAATATGTTCGTCTTGGAAGTGTATCAACAAAATGTACTTTATTTTTGTAGAATATGGGTATTCTTTTGTAACACCTTTTATCTTCAAAAACATATAATGGTGATACTTTTTGGTGCAATTATAAAACTATAAAATGTTTCCTTCGTATTCAAGAAAACTTGATCTATTTCCTGGTAATAAATATCCTGGGTAGGGTATTTTTAGTACTGCTAATGCGAGTGATTGTAAGATTTGTGTTCGTTCTAATTCGCATAGTTGATGTAGTGTTTCTAATTCAGAAAGTGACATTTCTTATAAAATTCTACTAATTGTGTAGTCTAATTTCTTGTCTAAATGAATGTCATAGTGTATGTTTCCAAATTATGTGGTAATCATAAGAGAAAATTCTTGTAATCGTGTACTTTTTCTGTCAATTGGTGTTAGTTTTCCACCGGGTTGACCATTATATTTACGAAAATTGACTGGGGTGTAGGGTTTTCCATCGTTTTTATAATGGGCTATTGCGTATGGATTAGTTTTGATTTTTCCAGTTGTCATGTCAAAACCTTGTTCGTATTCGACAAGTATTTCGGAGTATTGTGTTTTGTAGAGTGGGTTTTCATACTTACATGCATATTCTGTTTCTTGGTAGATTTGAAAACGTGTTAGTTTGTTTTCTATATCGTGTGAATTTTTGAAATCATGGCTTCGTTTGTGAGATCGGTTCACTTGTTCATATGGGATTGATTCGATAAAGTATTTATCATGAAATTTTATCATTCGGGCGTGTATTTTTGCTACTTGAAATATTGTGCATGTATCTTCGGGAAACCAAACGATTGTTGCTTGGGTTCTCGTTGTAGGGTCACAAAATCCTTGATTATTTTTACAAGATAAACGAATTCCTTGATAGATCATTGTGTTATCTGATAAATCTCGTGTGAGTTGTATTTTTCAAGTTGTATTTTCCAATCAAAATACATTATTTCTTGATATCCTTTATTTTTTGTATCTGCTTTGCAATTTGAAGGGCTATTGATTCCAATGTGTGGTATCCAAGGTTTATCTTTTATATCATAAGTTAAGCGTCCGTGTGCGCCATTGTATGGGTATTTTTCGTCTAATTGTTTATGTCCTTGATAGCGTTCAAGTTCTGCTTGATGTACGGAATCGCTGAAGACTTGGAAATTTACAATTTTTCTGTCTGAGTGTTTATTTTTGTCAGATTTAATCTGTATAATTCGGTTTTACAATCATCGGGATTAAGATGTAAAAGTCTTTCTATATTGCTTTGGTAAAATGATTCGTGATCAAGTCTGTTTTTCATTTCCGTTAGAAACTTGTGAGCAATGTACTTTCTTTTCGGAAAATGTTGCTTTAAATTTATATCCTGTGACTGTCGTTGCTCGGGCTTTTGAATATAATGTTGCTATTACGTTTGTAGTTTCTATTGCTTGTGGTTCTGTTTCGCATTGTGTTACTTTATTTATTGCATATTTGTGTAATGTTTTTTTGTTCATTTTCTTCACAATCATAGTGTGTTACTAATAAGTGTTGAGGTCCTGTGCGAGGAGATGGATTTGTCTTTTGTTCGGAAAATATAAGAAAAAACATGTGTTGAAATGTTAATATCTTTAAAATATACATGTGTTTGATAGTCCAGAGTATGGGTTATAAAAAGTTATATATCCAATTGTATTTTTTGTATCTCTATCGTATTTATATTTTTACTTTCGTTGTTATAAATGGTGGTGGTAGTGTCTGAGCTGTTATATCTGGGGGGCTTAATGGATAAGGATGTTGTACAATATTATTAAGTCTAACTGTTATTTCAAACTTTAGTTGAAGACTGTTTTGATGTAATATTTGAACTTTGTGTTCTCGGATATCCTCGTGGATATCTTGTCTATATTGTAATCAATTTAGTGCCCAACTGTGTAGTAGGTGGCTTTCGTTATGTTGTCCGAATAATGGAGGAGGTGCTACAAATGTATTCCAATCTAATCTTAGGGGTATATTTGTAGATTGTTCACTGTATCGAGTGTCAATGTCGTGTGAAATGTTTAAAGGGAAAAATGATGGTGAAATTTGACTAATCGATGGTGTCGATGG